GTTTGTGGTCATCGACAGAAATAGTCACTGCTAATTGTTTTGGTTTGGGGCCTCGATGGGGTGGGGGGGCGATGGGGGGGCGATGGGCGTAGCTCTCGTGTTCCACCTCGAGCAGCAAGAACCTGCCGGCGAAGGGACATCCCGATCAATTTGCAGGGTCCATTGTCGGCGGAGTGGCAGTTTAATCCACATTCCGTCCACACAAAGAGCCACTCCAACGGCGGCCATTGAAACGCGTCGCCGCCACCGGTGACACGGAGACATATTTGACATCGGAAAAATCTGCTCCGGGCGACGCGGAGGTGAAGAAATACTTTGATGTCTTCACGGGGGGGGTGGAGGGGGATCGGCGTGAACGTCATGGAGATCCAACGCAGGCCCCGAAGGCGCTGCGTTAGCCACGTTTGAATTTCTCGGCGTTGCTGCTCAGTTCGCCTCACAAGAGCCTCGTCATCCCGAGTGTGAATTCTTGCTTTGCTGGCTGCTTCAGGTTTGTGAAGAGGACCTCGATGTTCCTGGCGGAGGACGCTAACGCGCCTTGATTTCTTGAGGCTGATCAAGGAAATCGGAGGCTTATTTAATCATTTACAAAAAGGCAAATTGTTGGTGGTCTGCAAAGACGAAGTGGTGAAGCCCACAATTCATTTCCAGACAGATATGGATTTCCTAATGGATCAACACAGACTCACTGTCTGCTTCATGTCCGTCTAATAGGAATAAGTGTTGACTCGCCCCTTTTCTGGAATCCCACTTAAAACAACACACGCACCACGACGCGGTCGACAGCACACTGAAGTGCTGAGGACAACAGTGTGCGGCTGCACCGCGAGATTCCCACAAAAACTTGGATTCGAAGCAAGAATAACGTACTTTTTTACGCTCGGGCTTTTGGAATGCTAATCAACAAGGCTTCCTCCAGATTGCAGTGCATTTTAATTTTGCATTACTGCTCTAAAGGAGCCTTCATGCACCCGAGTCTGGCAGAATTAGGTTGCCTCGCTGATTAGCATATACTTCTTCAGCCACGGTTGATTAAATAAAACTGAATACACGCTGTAAATTTGAATTCCAGTCTCTTATTTAATTTAATTTCATTCAATTCTACATTTATTTATGGGGTCTCATCAGCGACATTTGTATGGAAGTCCAATGCCAGTGTGTGTGTCTGTGCGTGTGTGTAATAGTGGCAATACTCTGCAAGAAAGTCATAAGAACTCTTTATTTTTGAACCTATTTCACCCCGTGTTTCTAATTAAAATGAATACCACAGATAACGGCATGCAGCCTTTTCACGGGTTCCTGTGAACATGTTTAGCTTTAGCTTCTCAGGTTATTGACCGCGATGCTCGTTTCCCTTTGGGGTGTGCAATTCCCAAAAACACAAGATCTCAGTTGAGAAGATTTAATTGCACAATAACAAAAGTCCCTTTTTAATTCAAACCCGCAGCTGCTGGCTGCGTTCAGCTCTCCGGGAGGATGCCTGCACCTCGCACCGTCACGGCTCAAAGGCACAGGTGGACCGCTTCCGAAATTACCGCAAAATAGCGTTCGCCCCAAATGAGATAAAGCGCTCTGTCGATGCCACCGAGTGTGACATTTTGATGAAACGCCGGATGTCTCAGGAGCGAAGAGCACTGGAGTATGTACTGTATTTATTTTGGGTAGCATATACTTAAGTTGTATAAATGGTGTTTGTACTCTGTTACAGTTAAGAGGGATGTATATATATATATATGTAGTTACATTACATACTACTATTTCTACATAACATTGTTTTTTCTTCTGCAACTGACATAGTTGCCATTTCTTTTCCTTTTACAGCAACATTGTGATTGTTCACAGTGGCGGTGAAGAGCAAACAGGTGTTGCGGCTCACTAACAACATGAGCGGCGCCGGTGTGCTGCTGCGGCCCGGTAACCCGTGACGGTGCGCGCGGCCGGGGCCCCGGGGCCTCTGAAAGGCGAAGCAGCTAAATGGAACCCAGCCATCGTGCCGTGGATCATCAACACCTGCGTCGTTTTTTCCCGTGGGTGCACACTTATCATTCCGTGGCACCGGGCAATTTTTCTCACGGGTGTTTTTCGCATGAGGCTTATTGGACACCGCCCCTGGTTGGAGAAGGGTGGAGCTATCGGGGACTGAGGGGGGGGGGACCCCACAATGTTGCCCAAAAACTACTAGATAGAGATGTCAATCAAGCAGTCGGCATGCGCCCACGCGGTGCCAAGAGGAGGAATAATCCGGGCCAGTGAGTGAAAACACCTGTGTTGTGGGCGTTGAATATGCAGCCAAATCCAGGTCAAAAGTTTTGATCATTTGAAAAACAAATGTGAATGTGAAAGTTTCGGTTTTTTCTTGAACGTTGAAAAATACAACAATGTATTCAAAATAAAAATAAGTGGACGAAATGTTATCATTTGTATAATTTTGAATACATTTAAAAAAAATCTTTACTTTCTATTTGTATTATATTTTTCGGTTGCAGATTTTATATTTTCAGATTCAATTTTTTTTTCACATTAAATCTTTTGACCCGGATGTGGCGCAGGGGGCGGGGCATCAGCTGAGAGGGGCGTGTAATCACGAGTTAAAGGGCCAGTACGACACTCTACATTGTGCGTCACTGACGGGGTGATGTTCCAGGCAGTAACAGTTCTTTTACACAACATCTGAAGCTTCAGAAAGGGTCACGGAGACATGACAGTATCCAAAGGTCTCGTCTGGCCGAAAACTGTAGATTGAACAGTTCTCCGTTCAATTCCGGAGTCAATTGTCCTGCAAGCAGCCGGAGAGACGGCCAAGATGAGAGCCCGTCAAATCGTCTGAACAGCTACTGAATGTCATTCAGCCGTCTCCAGTTTCTTGGTTTACACCTGGAATTTACAATTTGTCCGAATGCCAACCAGGAAGTTAGCATCCACTGGTTTGCTCATCAAAAGCTAATGAATGTTCCATTGTTTTTTTGGGGGGGAGATTACTGCAAGAAATTGGCTCTTTGGAAACGTACGATACTTCAATTATTTGTTCAGCAAGATGAACTGAAAAGAATTAACATCACTTCAATTTTCAAACCAGTATAATCTCTTAAACTTTCGTTTTTTGACCACAGACTTGGAGGAGACTTGGATGAGGAAACCCGAAGTGCAAAAGTGCAATTTCATTTCTGTTATTTTGGAAGTGATTCCTGCAGCACTCCGTTCTGACATGTGGGAATGTCATACTTTTCCCTTCAACTCATTGCACATACTGCAGCTGCCTCTGCAAAGTATGTACTGTTGCATGCCGAACACATTTAAATGGGTTCGGGTTAGCGTTGCACCTTGAACTTTGACCCCCTTTGTTCGAGCATCGTTTGTCCTTAAGATTGTTGGTCAGAACAGTCAGAAAAGCTGCTTGCATACAGCAAGACTAATTCTATTTTTGCCAGCTGAATTTCGACGTACTTTGTGTGCTAGGGTACCTATAGTATGAAAGTATGGGTACTGTAACACACAGCTTCTCCCGTCACACCACAGGTGTCTTTTCCTTTACGTCACCCCCTCATCTCGTCTCCGCTTGACAGCATCACATTTCTCCGGCAGCATTGTGCAACAGGGACAGCAGAAAGGACAATTAAAGTTATTTGAAGAGCCTTGTTGATTTCCGTTCAAGCCATCTAATCACGGGCTGCTTTACAACCGGGATGCAAAGTGGGTGCAATCACCAGCGTTTAACTACCAGGTAGGGCCGAGGAGCAGCGGCGATGAAGAACTACCGCTGTCATTGGCCTCCTTGGGCTTTCTGTGCTTCATCCCCTCCGTCGTAGCCTTCGAGGATGGGAGCGGCCATTAGAAATGACGCTCCGATTGTAAATCATTTAACAAAACTATCACCCAGTGCACACCTTCCCCAGAAGCCTCCCCCCCCCCCCTCTCCCTGATCCCGGGGACTCTCTTGCAGTGCGACCCCGCACTCGACCCCGCAGGTACCCGCAGTTGCTCGCAGCGGCGGGCGGGGGGGCGCTGTAGGGCCTGTGTGGACGCCTCCGAGTTGGAAGGGGAGGAGCAGCAGCAGCAGCGGGAGGAGAAGTGGCGCGCGGCGCGCCAGCTCCCCTCCGAGCAGTCGCTCACATCTCCGATCCGCCGCGGCCGCGCAGGAGCTCCGAGACGCGCGCTCCGCCGAGTCCTGGTTCCGCCGCACTTGGTGACGCCTCGGAGCGGCGCACCACCGCGCGCACAGCGGTGCCCCCTCGTCCTCCTCTCCCTCTTTGCGTGTGCTGTGAATGCAACGGGCGGTCCCGTGCGGGGTAAAGAAGGCGCTCAGACATAAGCAGCGTCGCAGCGAACCCAGGACGGACGCGCGGGGCCCCGAGGGGGGAGGAGTGGGGGACAGGAGCACCGAGCGCCCGGGGAAGTTAAGCTCAAGCTCTGCCGTCGCGGGGCGCAAGCAGTCGGTGCCCCGCGCTTCGTGCGTTGTGTGGGTCAGGAGTTCAGACAGCGCGGGGGACCTTGTCCTTTTATGCATGACTGGGGGGGGGGGGGTAGGCAGGTTCACTGTCAGCCCCTGGGCTGAGGACCCCAGCCTACTGTGTGTGTTTGTGTGCGCGTGCACGTTGTGCGCAAGCACTCGTGCCAGGTAGAGAAAAAGACTAACTTGTGGTCTCCGGTCTGGTGACATTAGTGAAGCAGTAGTGGTCAGTTGAAAAACGAGGACGGCCACTAAGAACAAAGGACCGCCCGATATTATTATTATTTTTTTAAATCATCTGTTTTAACTTGTCAGTGAACTGCAGTAGGAGAAAAAAAACACATTTTAAATGCATGTCCATTTTATTATTTAACATAAAAAAAAAACCTGTCGTGCAAAATATATCACCCAGTAAACTACTAAAATAATTTAACGTGGCTTTCCTTCACACTGCATCCTTGAGTTTGTGGTTGCATACTTTACCACATGAACGATTCCTTTTTATGCATTTAACGCAATTCTCACTGCACGCTTCAAAGTGTCCTCACGGCCCTGTTCTCACGTCCTACAGATGCACCGCGTGTAACTTGCGGCACGCGAGACTCATCCTCCAGACGACAAAGCATTGCTCATCACAAGTCCCATCTGTTGTTCCAGCGAAGGGCTGCACCCATGGCGGTGAAGTAGAGCGCCTCACCCCCCCCCCACCCCCCCCGCACCCTCCTGCAGGAAGTTTCGGTCAACCCGTCGCTTTGGAAACGCTGACCGTCTTCCGTGCGTCCGTTTCCCGGCAGGTGAGAAGGCGTTTGACGAAATGACTTGAGGTCGTCCACACCGTTGACCTGCGGCCCACGTTGATGCACCGTCACATCTCCTGCTCATCGCCTGATAGATGCCTGATCTTATTCCTGCACTGAAACGGCAGTGTTGTTTTTGTATTAACGTGTGGGGGGGGGGGGGCACACTTCCCCACCGATGACATTTGAAAACCTCGCAGGCTGTCGTGAATCAAGGCGGGGATTAAGGGGCTTTAGTCCTACTCCCTCCTGAACAGGCAGGGAGCCGTGCACTCGATGAGGTAAGACCATGTGTTTGCCTCGGCGCCGGGGGCCGTTTAGCAGGGGTCTTACTGCTCATCCGCTCCGTCTGACGGAGAATTGTCTCTGCATATTTAGACTCCCCGCTCGCTGTAGGTGGAGCGTTGTGCAGATGGAAATGTACGGAGGTGCAGGCAGCACCTTTTTTTTTTTTTCCTTCCTTTTTACATTTTTTCTCCTCACAAGCTTCTTTTATAATAAACTCAATCAGGGATTATCCTTCTACGTAGAGCACGAGTCGGGGTTGGTCTGGGAAACGGCTTCGGCCCGGGGAATTCATTGTGAAATTACCTCAAGGCATTTATCCTATTAGTAAAGGCCAAGCGGGAAGCGACTCCTGTTGTTATGCTCGGCCCAAATTACGCCATCGCTCAAGGCCGTTTTATTATTTCACTTCATAGCCCCGTTGCAGGATGTGGGCTTCATCATTGTATCGGTGTATTATTGGGGTGATGTATGGATCTGATAGTGATGCCTTGCGACGGGAGCCGGAGTAAAAGATGTGCTTTTCTGAATGGGCCGGTCTGATGTGGTTGCTTTTAGTCATTATCTCCACATCACTCCTCATTATTCATGCTAAAAAAAACGTTGTTCTGGATTATTTTTTTTTCTGAAAGCGCCAGAACCCAAGTATGGATATCAAGGTACTTTAATTCCCTCCACGCCGGCCAGGTGACGACTGAGCTTCCCTGTGCTTGGGTGCGGATCCGTTGCTTTGGCCTCTGGAGATGGACTCGGGTTCTAAAAGGAGTCCTGAGGAACAGAAGCCGTGCCAAGCTCCTCACCAGACATGGCTGCAGAAAGCCAGGTCTCTCTGTGCTCTTCATGCAACAACAGTCGGATGAACATAAATGATGCATCTGCCGGTGCAAAGCAGCGGCTCGGATGAAACCAAGCAGTTTCCTTATTTTTTTTGCAGAGTGCAAAAATAGCGCTTTTGTTTATCTGCGCTATTGTAGCCGGCAATTACGCTGATTCTGCTGGCGGCATTAGAGGACCAATCTGGACCGACCCGCCCCCGCCAGAATGAAAAGGAAGAGCTGTCGAGTGTGTTTCAATGTCTTCTCTCGACAATGGACTCCATTTTCTCAAAGTAAATTTTTTGAGTCGCATTTTAAACTCTTTTTAAACCAATTTTTTTTTTAGGAATCGAATAATAATGGCACATGGGCCGTTGGGCCTGTGTGCCATTATTATTCATGTCACTACGCTGCCGTATACGAACGCAGAGGTCAATGCCCATTCAGACATGACTGGAAGCTCTTCTGGCCGTTTCTTGGTGGAAGCAGCAGGAGAAACGATGATCATACGTGTGATTTCAAAGGGCGCCATCCACGCGCCAGGATCTCGCCCTCCGTTTATTTTATTTTTAATCGCTTGGAAGCTGTTCTTTGGGGGTTTTTTTCGGTTAGAATGTGTTCGGTGCAAAAAGAACTCTGCAGCCATTCGGGTCGCTTTAATGGCAACCGCGGTCGGAAAAGCCGAGGTGTTGTGATCACATCCTGCCGCTCTGTTTCGCCGACGGCAATCAGGTGACGGAGACGTGACATCGGAAAAAGGATTTCATTATAAAAATGGCCCAGTTGTTTTTCTAATTCTTTCCATAACAGCGCGGCTCGCTAAATGAAGGCAACTCGACGGCCTTTATTGGGTTGATTTCCCTCCGTGTTGCTTTGGGCGGTTTCACATTTTCCGTCTCCAGACGTCGGAGGAGGAGGAGAAGAATTCTTTTGTTTGTGATCCTCAGATGGCCCTTAATCCACGGGCACACTGCAAGAGCCTCTTGAAGCTGGAGTGCATGATGCTGTGGCAGCGCACCTCGCACAAAGATATGAAGCTAATTACAAGCGCGGCTAAATGCAAAGGAGACGTCTGAGTGCCTGCAGCCTGTTCCGTAATTGTTGATTAAATAATAGGCCGATGGTAACGCCAGCAATATGTTTTTATGTTACAAGTGTGGCTCTGAACACAGTAGCAGCTTCGTATTTACCGTGCGCAGCGAGGTATCGCTCTTCCTTCTTGACCGTGCTCCCTTTGACCTTTTCGCAACGCGTGCTTGTTTTTTTTTTTTTTCTTCCTTGCTTTTGCTGCACTTGAAACTGAATTTCCGGCATCATTGGTTGCGTAGAGAAAACGGAGCCTACCGCTGCAGCTACGTGAGCGCTGCACGCGGCTAGCCGGGCGCTGAGGTGGCGAAAGGCCCGACTCTGATTGTCTTCACCTGTCGGGACAGCCGGCGCTCGAGTTAATTGCCCCCGAAGACGCAGCGGAGTTCAAACGGGTCCCTTAAAAGGATCCGGGCGCCTCGTCAGTCGAGGCGGGTTCGCGATGCCCCGGCCGTGTAAAAATCTGAAAAGCAACGGGCTTAGGAGCTTAAAAGCTGCTTGATCCGCCTCGATTAGAGTGAAACGCGTGCAGCTCTGTGTTAAGGTTTCGGAAGCTCTCGAGGGAGGACTCAATCCTTTGTTCTCGTCCCGGCCGGAAACGAGGACACGAATGAGTCAATTCGTTTAAATTCAAAAATCAAAAGTTATTTAATAACTGAACAACGTAATAGGGATTACAATTACAAAGTGAAATACTAAGCGAACAGTGGAATATTTCGCGAAATAGAGAATCCTCTGAGCAAGTCTGAAGTGACTTATCAACGCGGCTGCAGGAGAAGTTCTAACAGTCTTTTCCCCGCCATGGTCCTTTGAAACCTCTTGAGGTGTGTCTTCTTTGGTGCATTTGAATGTCATTGGCCTCTTCTCCAAAGGGTCACCTCCTCCATTGTCCCTTCCACGTCGAGGTGTGAAGCTGCAGCTGTAACCTGAAACCTCTCTGTCCTAGCTGTCCCTCACATTCCAATGCACTCAATGTAGATACATTCGGCTTTATGCCCCAATGAGTGAATTTAACAAAGCATACAGCGTTTAAGTCTTCATCTTATAACTAGTACACTTTAATTACAACAACCCATCACTAATGATCACCGTTCATCACACTTCATCATAAGATCTAAAACAGTTCATGTGGTTCAATTCTCAAGACATTTGCCTCAGTCGGCTGCCTTGAAATAAGTTGTTCATTTTATTACCTGACAGGAGAAAAAACTCCCAAAAAACCCTTTTTGGGGATAAAATTGGGAGAAATCCATAAAGAACGGCAATTGGCATCCGTTCCCAGGTTTTAACATCACATTTTAACAGAATGTAAATGTGTAGTGTGTTTCTACGTTTTCTACTGTGTTTGATTCACATTGTATTCACTTCATCTAACATGTTAATGTAATAACTAATCTAACATCACACAAACTACAATTCTATCACTAAACATCATTACACGCACTACAAATTCTATGACTAGGGGTGCACTTCTGGCTTAAATCCCTAACATCTGACACCGAGCTGATGAAGGAGTTTGCAGAAATGGGAGGATTAGATCCCATTTTCAAAGCAACACCTGTAAATGATTTGCGACCGTAAAGTTTGGAGTTTCTACTGATACTCATTTCTAAATTTAAATTGGCTTTAGAGAATCCTAACCTGAAGGCTTGCTCACCACCGAGAGATGCAACCCCATTTTCTGAAGATGAATGAAACATTTTGGAGGGAATAGTCCTGCGCCGCTCCCTCTGCAGCCTGTACGCTTCCCTTATTGCGTTTAGGTGACAGTGATGTCTTTTTGAATGTGCGAATGAATAGTTAGCATCAGAGGTTATTCAATTTTACATTTGGCGAATGTACGCGGGGCAAAAGGCTACGAGCGAACGCCGTGCTGCCCGAGCTCTTCAGAGAGCAGTGAACCCTGAGAGGAAGTCTCTCTCTCTCTCTCTCTCTCTCTCTCTCTCTCTCTCTCTCTCTCTCTCTCTCTCTCTCTCTCTCGCCCCCGTTGACACAGTCACTGAAGGGCCAGTGGGGAGGGATCCTATTTCTAAAAAGCCTTCAGTTCCCCTGTACGGAGACACAAATGGTCTCAGAATGCACTAAGCCGCGGACCTCCAACGTCCGTGGAGATTTGAGTCCGAGTTGAATCTGAAACTGAGCCATTTCGATACGTTGCAGATTTATTTTGAGTGGCTGGCAGCTTCTGTTTGGTGGGTGAGGAGGTAAAACATGGTCATTTCATAGTGTATTATTTGAGCATTATTTGAGTCATTGATTAGAACATCTATCATTAAAGGAAGGTAGATTTGGTGCTGAAGTCCATCAGTTCTGCTTTCCATGGAGCCGCGCTGCGCTGCCCCTCCCGATGCGGAGGCCCCCGATGGAGCCGGCGGTTCCCCCCCCCGAGCGCAAGGACCCGATTCCACGTCCACTCGCAGCTTTAACTCGATTTCATTCACCGCACTTTTAACACCCCACTCAGACGGTTTGAACCCGCTCGACACGTCGGGGCCGCAGGTGGCACGGATTTGGGTTTTTGACTCGGGGCCCACGGGGGCCTCGTCTCGGTCTGTGAAGCTGCTGTTTGGTGGGGGGGGGGCGACTCTGCAGGTCTGTCCTGAAGCGGCCCTTCTAATGAGGTGTCCTCGGCCACCATATCGCTACTAAACATCTATTATAAAATATCAGCTGCATTCCAGGCGTGTATGGGCTGTTAGAAATGCACAATATACCAGGGTATGGTTTAAGAGTGGATTGTCCCTGAGAAGGACACGGATGTATCAAGTAATAATTTATCTGAAATTGAATAATTGAATGTGCCTGGAGGAGAAGTGCAGCTTTAAAGAGAAGCCCGGGATGTCAGACTGGAACCGGCGCTGTCCGCTTGAGGCGAACCAGACGTCCAATTACTTCAAGAGAGAAACCAACTGGACCAGTCACTGAAGTCACTTCTCCCGCCTGCCGTTCGACCCGGAATTGCGTTAAAACTCTTTCAACTCTGCCTCTGTCATTTTAAGTTTGTTTTTCCCTCCTAATTCTCCCGTTGGTCTTAACGGTAACAAGCAGGCTTTTCCGAGTGATCTCATGAAATCAATATATGACCGCCGTGCATTATGAGGGCGACCACAGCTGATTGCTGCTTCCAGTAATGCTGCTACTCACCCGTCCTCCTTTTCTCCAAGAGGACGCTTCCTTCTGCCGACCGTAAGCCGGTTGTCTCCCGCAAACGGAATATGTAAATGTTGCCCGTGTTGACGGAGGTGTACTTAACGGTGACTTGCAGCCGTGTCTGATTTGCATGCTCCAGCGGAGGTGGCTTTTGAGTTAAGAGGGTGCATAAATCATGCGGTCGCGGGAGGTGTGATGTGCATGTGTATTAGCGTCCTGCTTGCGAGCCGCTTGGGCCCCCCCCCCCCCCCCGATGTCTTCTCCCGATGAATGCGGCGGCTCGTGAGCTATTGGCCCCCGTCCCGACCGCCGGTGATTAATTCCTGTTGGCAGTGAACCTTCCCGGCTTAAATACCTGCAGCGCAGCGACCGCGGCCATTGATTGTATTAATTAATTCCCGCTTGACATCTGGCCACCAATAACACTGGAACCAGGCTGCTTTTTATTTGTGGAATGTTTTTTTTTTAATTCTGGCTGTAGGTGAAATTGTATGGTGTCCATTAATTTGGATGTCAACGGTTCACAGAGATTTATTCAAAATAAAGCGTGTTGGTTGTGTTGAATAGAGCGGCTGTCCTTTTCACTGAAACACTCCCAGTTACACAAACCCATCAAGTCGAGTTCACAAAGATGCGCACAAAAGCCCGTCCGAGGTGGTTTACTCACCTCGAAATGTTTTAATTAACAACTGTGGAGCAAAGAAGTCTTCGTCGACTGGTGGAATAAGGGTTAGAATGGAAGTCGCAGGGACGTTATTCGCTTTATAAAAGAACCTCCGTTACTCTCCGGACATCCGTCCCATCGGAGGCCACTTTGAAGTCGGCCTCTGAACCGCAGCCGAGGAAACAAAGAGCGAGAGTAACTCTCTAGCTTCTTGTTTTCCTGCTCGTACAGCAAACCTTAGGATTAGGAGACGCGGAATCATTAGAGCGCTTAAGCGCGGCTGCAGCGGTCTTGGAAGAACGCAGGAGGGGGGCGAGTTTGATTATTAACGGCGAGTCTCTATCTCTCAGGCCCTAATTGGTCTCCGCTGATTGCTGAGCGTTCTGATTAAGAAATGCCATTAAAGTTGATGCATTACGCTTCCAAGTGTTTTTCACACTTAGATGGCTCCTTCAATCAATCGATAATTACGTAGATGATTTATTGCCGCGGTTCAGTTTGACACGTTTACAGTAATTGCCGTGCTAGAGATGATATTTTTTGGGGGGGTTTTAAAATGGTTTCTTTTTGATGAAGTCTTAATGCTACAAAGTTCCATTGTTCCACATTCACCGTTAACCTGAGAAATGCTTTATTGCAAAGTATTTATCTCTGACTTCTCGCTAACGGTGGCAGTTTCTCATTTTGAATATCGTGCAGTAGTGACTTCTCGGAGTCAATCGGCATGTTTTTCATTACGGATGTGCAAGTTGGTAATTAGACGCACAAGCGACAAAAATATGAATCTATAGGGAGAAGTCAATGAGGTAGTTAATGATTTTACTTTGTGTGGCGTTAATGGAAAACATCTCTAATTTCATGTATTTCCTCCGGGCCTTAACTCATTTTCCAGTAAAAAGAAGAAGACATTTCAGGTTTTCTTTACACCGCAACTGTTTTTAGCTCCGTGTTCTAACTGTATTCAAATCACCTTTTACAATAAACCATCCTCTATTTCTCATTTATTCCGATTGCTAAGTAGTCAGAAGTGGCTTTAAGAGGTTTTTTATAGTTTTGTCATATTCTAACGAGAGGTTAAACACATGCACAGTTGGACACTAACTTTCGATGAAACACCACTGACTCTTATTTTGTAGCAGCAGCACATAAACAACAACATGTCAGAACATTTATTTTTTTCTCCAGATGCACTCGTGTGCATCAGCAGCCGCTGTTTCGCTCGGGGAAGTGATGGTGGAGAGAATCGGTTTGATATCGGCGGGCTGCTGTCTTTTATCCTCCTCCCGAGGAGCGGCCAGCTCGCTGTTTCCAGTCTTGCACAATCATCACAATGGAAATCTGACTTCTTTTAAGGATGGAAAAAAACCATAAGCGTTTTCCACCTCTTTTTTTTATTTTTATCTGTTTGAAAAAGATAAAATGCATCGGGAAGGCTGTTCTGTGGACTGTTAAGTCGCCGTGATGTGCGAGACTGCGATGAAATGAGCATCCCAAGGCCTCGCTACGTCGCCTCAGACCACGTGGCGTCGATGTCGCCAGTGTTTTATTTTGAAGGAGGGCAGATCTGGCTGAATGAAGCCTTTTTGATTTCTGCAATAACACAAATTCCATTGAGGCTTTTTGTGAAGGGAACCAGCGTGGCGCTGGTGGTTCCATCAGAAAACTTTAACCCCCGAAGCCGCCACATCGACTTCTAATCCAGTAAGAAGTCGCCTACATTTCCCAGAATGACTCCAGAATGACCCCCCTCCACCCCCCCGGAGAGCCGGCGTGAACGAGCCTGAGGGTTCTGGGGGGTTCTGCGTGCAGGCAGAGGAGGAGAAGAAGCAGTAACCCCAACGGCTGCTAAGCATTCTGGGTAATGGAGAGGAAAGTTGATTTTCTTGTAGTGGATTTCAGTTTTTTATGACTGACTGACAGAAAATAAAGCCCCTGCTGTCTGATTTTCAAGGGGATTCTGCTTGAACTGGATGTTTTTTATTTATCTGAAGAGCAAATGTCCTCATTTTGATACTTTTTTCCTTCGTTGATCTAAACTCCTTTCATTTACTGCAATGAAGTTGCAACTTAAAGGCCTCAAGGCCTCAAGGCTGCCCGCCAGCTTTATTTTTCACTTGATCCAACAGAAAGACGATGTCCCCGTACGCCGGCTTCCGAACAATGCTCTTTTCACGGAGCGCCATGCGGCGACTCCCGAAGCCGCCCCCGCCGCCGCCGCCGAGGAGTCGGGCGGCTCGCTCCGTTTGTGTTCTTACCGAACACCGGTGCTGTTGTTGCGCGACACAATGAGCCCCTCTCTGAAGCGCCGTCTCTCCCGGAGCGAAGCCTCTTCCTTTGTCGCCGTCTCCGAGCGCAGCGCGGCCTTCGGCCCCGAATGTAATTGTAGTCATTTAGAAAAACGACTGAATCGCCCATTAATTTGCCCGCCGATCCTTCCCAACAGCGACCATATGGCTGGTTTGACCTTTTGCTGGCGCCGAATTAGCCGACGCTGACCGCTGCCGCTCTCTCAGGACAGTTGGAGGGGTTATTGATTATTAAAGATTACACTAATGAATCTCTCCATGCGGATTGTTCCACGCTTGAAGGGTTTGCCTTTTTGAAAATTGTCTTCTGAGTGAAGCGTGCCTGCATCAACCTCGTTAACAGATGGCGGGCGCATGAATATTAAGGCCAGATTTATAGATGTTTTCATTTGTGTTGTGAAGCTTCGCCTAATTCGCACACTGTAATTGTTTCTGCAGGTGTAGACGGCAACACTCCAAAGATCTAATTTGCCTGTGATGAGCATCCTCGTCCACCAGAGACCAAAGGTACGGTAAGCTATGAAAAGCTCATTATCTTATGTCCCAATAAACACTTTGTTATGCCGCAGGCAAAACAAGCCACACCGACGCGCGAAGGAATACCAGCGCGCCAAAGTCTCGCCGTTCTGTTTGACATCCAACCGGCTTTCCTCACTTGAGGCTTCGCTGCTGCTCATTTTGTGCGCAAGTGTACATGTTCCGTGTCGCTGGGCTGGTTTGGTTTGGTGGAGGGGGGCGGGGGGGGGCGGGGGGGGGGTTGATCGTCTGGAATTATTTGATACGCGGCGTCATTAATTGGACCTGACGTCCTCGCCACTCTGTCAAAAAAAACCAAACCGCTTTCCGAGCCATTACGGGGTCAGAGTCTGATCCCGGGTCGTCGGGAGGTGGGATTACTCCCGGGGGCCTGCGGTACCCCAGGAATGCCCCCCTTCCTCCTCTCCCACCTCCCCCCGCGGTGGTCCGCTCACCGCTGATGAAAGGGAATTGAATTAATGGGGTGTCCCGCTGCGAGGGCAGATTAGAACGACATGGCGCCCTGTGATCCCCGAGCGAGGTGACAGGCACACGGGGGCGTAGGGGGGGGTCAGCGTCAAGTCTCACCTTGTTGTGGTGCGTCCGGGCCGTCCCGTGGGAGGCTGCAGTCACTGTTGTTCCTGCTCGGGCGGGACGACGGGCCTCTGTGATTAATTTGCCTTAAAAAGGACAATAAAAAGACTTTAAATGTGCATTGAAGTGATTACTGCGAGTCGTCGGCTTCCATCACTGCAGAGTACTCGTAATCCCTTAAACGCACTCTTTGTACAAAGTAACTCTTTGAGCAAACCCAAAGTTGTATTTCTTTATTTCTGTTGTGGTGAGATTACAACTTTTGTTTTGGCCTCAATGTGCTGCTCTGGATTATGTTAAATCCACCGCGGAGGAGTTTCAGCTGAATAAAACCAAAAGTGAGTGCAGCATGTGACGGTATTTTCAACATGCATTTCGTTTAGCGGTGCTGGGAAAGGACCGTGGGAATGAGTCCCGTCCCGTGGCGTCTCCGTCCCGCCTCCGCGTCCCCATAAAGCTCTGACTGGTTTTGTTTTTTTTCCGCCCGTTGGTGTGACGTTTGCCCAGAAAAGCACGCAGGCGTTTCCGTTCCTTTGCTTGTGGTTGTTTGCCGTTGGAGGAGAGCGAGTCATCCCGACTCCGCAATCCTTTTTTTAGCTTTTTATTTTGTTTTTGCCACACACCTCAGGAAGTAATGGTCGTCCTCGTCACCGGCGTGCGCCGTTTTGCGTTGGGGGCCCCCGGACGCTGTCTGCAGGAATCATCCTCAAGGCCTCCTCCCCGGTAATGATGGATGACAAGCTCGCCCTCCTGGTGGCACGCAGAGCCGCTCAGGCGGAGGTGCCGTCGGCCGGCAGCCTACCTGGTGCACTAGAGGGGGGTGAGGTGGGGGTGAGGAGGGGGTAAAAAAGAGAAGGCTTCATGTCTCCTGTTGAGTGCAGTAAATTACAGTGACTCCCTCCGGCCCCTGAGCGCTAATAAAAAGCCGGTGGTCACACAAGGAGTTCCACTTGTGTGTCGGCCTTTGACTCTGTGCTGCGCCCTTTAATGCGTCTCGTCCAGCGGCCGTTTGAAGCGTCGCCAACCGAGGCGACGCGGAGAGAATAGCGGTGCGGCTTCTCTTGACTGGAACCGGGCGCGTTTAAAATCTCCTTACGCTGATGAAGCGCGTGAGATTCTGTCAAAATGTTTCAGTAAGCGCCCTTTGGTGCCGCAGCGGTCTGCGAAACCGCTCTTGTCGAGGTCAAGGATTTATTCCATTCTTCGTTCTCCGGCTGCTGGCTTTTTTTTTTTTTTTTTCAAAAGGCACCGCGAGCGCTGCTTATTTTCATTAAAGGGCCTCATCTGTAAATGATTTTTTTCTTTTCAATAATTTGAACCATTGTTCAGTTTGAGAATGTCAGAAAATAGTGGAAAATGTTGCTTCCAGTGTCCCGGTCTACAAATAGATGCTTTCAAATGTTGATTTGTGCAACAAACAGTCTGGAATCCAGAGAAATGCTGGTTTTAATTATGTCAAACAAAGTCGTCTTTTTATTGGACAAAGCTCAAGCCGGCAGCGGACCACGCTTTAAATCATCCTCTTTGATAATGTGGCCCCATGTGTTTGGACCCACGGCGTTTATGTGATCCTCCCTTTACCGTCCCGCCATGTGGGATCAATTTAGTGCCGCCGCTCTGGATCTACAATCCTCTCCACACTTTGTATCTTTAAAGAGCCATTTGCCATAATTGGTAATGAGGAACCGGAGTAACACTAATACTTGATAACATGGGATTACATATAGAATATATATTCTTTTGTATCTCAGGAATGAATTAATCATCATGAATCCCCCCCCACTCCCACAATAATACATCATTTCAGGTCGTGCGTGGGCGCACGTGCGCCTCTACCTAATGGACGGTGCTGCTCGGAGGAGATAACAAAGTCAAAACGCGTTTTTCACCATAATTACATGCAGCCGAATGTGAAACGCTGCCTTTAAAAACCCCGACTTTGTGAGCTGGAGGATCATTAAGACCAGAAGAGTCTTCACCTGCTGACCAAGGAGAAAAGGGGCCGCCGCAGTATTTAGCTGCACAGACAGGAAATGATGGGGAAGTGGGTTCTAAGCAGAACGCTGATGTCACTAATGGCGTGACCTTTGACCCCCCTGGGCGAGCCGCGAGGTGCTCGTCGGATGTTTCCTCTGGCTGCCCGAGAGCGATCCCGTGGTTGCAGACGGGAAGGAAGCAAGGGAGCAAGGGAGCAAGGTCACGCCTTTTCCTCGCTGCCGATTCATGAGACGACCCCCCCCAACCCCCCGTGTCCCCCGCCGCCCCCGCCGATCCCCAACGGTAAAGATGGCGTCCTCCTTTCTCCCGTTTTCACAGGCCGCCGCCAGACCGCGACAGAGGCAAAGCGAAAAAAACGCACACGCCGCCACACGGACCCGATTATCCCCCTGTCACACGTACAGCGAGGCATTGTCTCCGGCCCGCCCCCGGGTCGATTAAGACGTACGGCGCCGCAGGGGGTCGGCCCGTGGTTAAAGGGGCATGCGATCCTCAGAGGCTGACACACACATAACGCACAGCGGGGGGGGCGTTTAGCATCTTATCCGCGCCATTGAGGCTAATATCTGTGAATGGGGCATGCTGGCACTGTGAGGCGTTGTCTCTCTTCCTTTATAGCGCCGGCGCGTAAGCGGATGGCGAGGAGGGGAGGGGGGGCAGTAAGGGAGCGACTCCCGGCGTTCGACTGTCGCGCTGCGTTTTTTGCTCCAAAGGATCTTCTGGTCTCGGCAGTTCAAAAGGTTTCCATGATGTTTCCTTCATTCCACGCGGGAGGAAATGACCCGTTTGAGCAGCAAAAACTACAAAAAGCCAATTGCATTCATTATGTATTGTACGTTTTCCAAAAAATACACAAATTTGAGTCGGTGTGAAGATGTCAGCCGGCCTTCCTGTGAAACGTTGGGCTGCTTTTAAACCCTTTTCTTGTTTGGATAATCCAAAATAATCTCTCAATAGTGTGTCAGGATGAGCTGCAGTGACTTTGAACTACAAACCACCGTTCAACAACCAAAGGGAACCTGATTGATTTGAACACTACCAGCTCAAAACGACCGATGGATGCATGAGCTGAAGATAAACCAGGCATTATAGCCAAATAAACGTGATTCAAATGCAGACGTGGACTAAAGCGAGTTTAGCCAGCTTGGAAAAAAAAAAACCCTCTTCAAAACATCCTTTTTTTATCCCCGCTTTAAATGGCGCGCCACAAAGAGAGGGCGCCAAAGTGTTCGCCGTCAACGGCTCGCCGGCCGCCCGCCTGTTCATCCGCAGAGTCCCGCCGGCGGAGGTTTGACTGTTCTTCCGTCGGCCCACCCGTGGGGGGGGGGGGGGGGGGGGGGATTGTACTGTATAATTACCTTGTGTTTTATTCCACTAAAAGCTTCACCATGACGTCACACTCTGGGATCCTGATAAAAACACCTGTTGAACTTGGTTTGTAAAAAGGGTTCAGTCGCCTCGAAGGCAGATAGTCGTTCAAATACCCGTCGTCCTCGGCGAGCCGCGATCAGTGTACCAACGCGCCGACGCAGCGAAAAAAAAGCCGCCGTCTGATTCGCAGCGATGCGTTTTTGAAGGGAAGCAATTTCCGTGCCTGGCGTGAGAACTCCCCTTTAACCGTAATTACCCCGCCGCCCGGTGGGGGCCGAATGCTCTCGGCTGCGACAAATTTCCCGACGGGGGCTCTCATCAAAGAACTCTGATTCTCCTTATCGGCCGTGGTCAACGGGGGCCGCGCGGAAAATTGACTTTGTAATTATTGGTGAGTATCATCGGCAGGAAAATGTTTTTATTTGGACACGTAGCCGTTGACATGGCGGCCACGGCGCCGGGTCTCCACCCCCCTCGTGGCGGGCGCCGTGTTTAGTGGGAGGGAGGCGGCCTTCCTGCTCGATGGCGAGCAGAGAGAATTACCCTCTTGAAAAGCAGCCGGGGGCCGCTGTCATTTATCTCTATGGTTACTGCTGAAGTCTTGCATCAGAGGTGAGCAGGCTGACGCAAACATTAAGGCGACGAGAGATTGCGGGCGCGGCGGCGGGTCATTCGCAGGCACGCATCTCGCCGGGAACCCGAGAATAGAATAAATCTCCAGCTTCTTTCTGCACGATAAGTATCAGCGTTCGCTCTCCCCGAGACTAAAAAGGATCGTTGTGCGGTTTTCTTTTCCTTTCCCCCCCCCCCCTCTTTAATTATTGTGACACATGTGCGGTGCAGATGGAATAACGATCCTTTACGGGCTCACGGAGGTTTACCTCTAGCTTGTAAACCTGCAATCCAGCAGCATATGCGTTTTAACGGCCCCCAAAAGCGCCTTCCAAACTCCTCGCAAATCGCTCAGGCGAAAACAAACTGTCTTTTAACACCCACGGCTTCACCCCTGCAGCCCCGCCCCCCCACCC